GGCAGGGGCAGAAACATTCACGGGAATCAGTGGAAATCCTTCCCAGTTTGTGCCAGAGACTCCAAGTGAAGCCACTTGGAGTGTCCCTGAGCAGCCCAAGGACATTCAACTTCACACAAAACTATATTTAGACGTGCAGTTTATTTCTGGAAGTTTTTGCTGCTTCTTTAGAGATAGTTGAGGTTAAAGCCAATTTTCTTTTGAGACTTAGTTACACCTGGTGCTGCATCTCTGGCAGCACTCGTGCTTCCCCCCTTTTAAATGTAATTTTTCCTGTGTAATATTGAGAGGAAGAGAAGAGCAGCATTTTGTGTTATCAGCTCTCAGGCTGTAACAACACTTCAAAGGTTGAGGATATTGTGACAAAAGAATTTAGAATCTTTAAAAAGAGTTTTGTGGCCTTGTTTCCACAGGGCTCTGCTGGTCAGTGACCATTTCTTGATGAACTTTTCTGAATTCTTCCCAGAATTTTGCATTTTTTGGTCTCAAAATCCTTTTCCTCAGAGCATCACCTGGAGACTCTGGTCACCCCTGCAGCTGCTGGGAGCAGGGTCCATTCCAGGGGGAGCCTGCAGTGATCCAGGCATTCCTCAAAATTCAGCACTGATTAAATGGATAAAAATCATGTCTGCAGAGGAGCAGAGCAGAGGTTCAGTAATTTAGCTCAGGATGAGCTCAATCCTGCCATGAGTCATTAATTTCTAAAATACAGCTTACTGTCATGGAATGTGATTATTCCTTAGGCTGGGCTCTTATTTTCCTCTGTGCAGCACTCAGGAGCTGTTTAAGCATTTGACAGGTGAATAAAAGGCTGAGCCCTCTCCCCAGAGCAGCAGCCCTGGCATGGTTGTGCCTCATCCCTGCTGGAATCAGGGTGCTCAGCTCAGCTCAGCTCTCAGGGTGTGCCATTTGATGAAGAAACAGTGGATTTGGTTTGTAGAAGTCAAGATTTGACTTTGTAAATCCAAATATTTAGGTTGAATCGAAGAGGGGAATTAAGGCTTGCAGTGAAATGAGAGTTCCCAGGGTGTCTTGCTTGACTTTCCCTCAGGTTTGGGGTTTTCTCCTGCATTCAGCGCCACAGAGTTCACAAAGGCTTTCCAAAAGGGCCTTGCTGCTTTGGGGCAAAGCAGTGTTTTCTGCTCATTGCACAGAATCATGGAATCCTGGAATGGTTTGGGTTCAAGGGACCTTAAATCCCCTCCCATCCCAGGTCCCTGCCATGGCAAGGACACCTCTCACTGTCCCTGGGTGCTCCCAGCCCAATGTCCAGCCTGGCCTGGGACACTTGGCCCTGTTGTTGTGTCAGTCCTCACGGCCTGAGGCCAATTCCAGGTGATTTTTGGGGCTGGTTTGCTCCCTGCAGGGCTGCACAGGGACAATCCATGGCAGGAATTCCCTGTGAGGGACTGGGGAGCTCCCATGGCATTGTCCCCTGGCAGCTGCAGAGGAACCATCCCACCAAGGGGCAGGGCTGGGATTTGGGATGGCTGCAGTGACCTCAGGGAGGAAATGCTGGGAAATGAGGAGTCAGCCCTGCTTCCCTCCAGCTGCCAGTGTGGAAGGTGCAGGTGGGCCCAAGGCTGTGCAGAGGCCATCCCTCCATCCTCCTGCAGGTGCTGCCCGTGTGGATGGGTCAGAGCCTTGGCATGCCCAGGTGGGGCCTTGCCCAGGGTTGCTGGAAGGAAATGGAAGCACGTGGAGCGTGTCCTNATTTAATACAGAAAATGGGGGGAGCAAACTAACAAACTTAAGAACACACTACAGCAGTGGGTTCACTCCAGAGCTCGCTGAGCACCAAACCTGCTGGCTGTGCTTTGCTTTGCAGTCGTATCCTGTGCAGCCTGGCAGTGGCACCTACATGGTCCAGGGGGTGTCCGTGTCCCCAGGGTACAGCCTGGCCCCCGAGCAGGTGGCCCAGGTCAGGCCCCTGCCCCAGAGCCTCAACTCTGCAGCCCCTCAGCCACCTCCAGCTGCTTATTTAAGGTATGTGGACCCAGCCATTTCTTCTTCCTGGGGGGAATTTTGCCACTTTGCACCTTCTCGTGGCATTTACGTTTAGTGACGCGTCATTTTGGAGAGAAATCGGAAAATACCAATTTTAGCAAAGCAGGGTGCAATGAGAACGTTATTCTGGGTAAAACTGATCCTGCACAAGGAGGTTCCCCAGGAAGGTTTTAAGAAAGGTTGAAAAGGAACCTCTGATCTTGGCTTTAAGCACTCAGCACCAAAGATTGAAAATTAAATAGTAGGAGTAAGCTGAAGAGCAGGAGTAAGTTGAAGAGCAGGAGTAAGTTGAAGAGCAGGAGTAAGTTGAAGAGCAGGAGTAAGTTGAAGAGCAGGAGTAAGTTGAAGAGCAAGAGTAAGTTGAAGAGTAAGAGTAAGTTGAAGAGCAAGAGTAAGTTGAAGAGCAAGAGTAAGTTGAAGAGTAAGAGTAAGTGTAAAAGGAAAAGTTACGTAGTAGAATTATTGAGATGCTGAAAGAATTTTGAGGGTGAAAATGTTTCTTTGTGCAAAAAAACTGCCATGTTAGAGGCATGAAAAGTATGGAATTCCTGGGAAACTGTTGATTAACATGGAGGAGTGACAGGAGGGAAAGTGCAAGGCCAGAGCTGGTTGCAGTTGAGAGCGTGCATGTCAAAAACTGGATTTTTGCAGCCGGCAAAACATGAAATTGCTTCCAAAGTGACCGTTTTGGTCAAATGTACATCTTTTGGGGGCTCCCAGCCTGTTTTGGGGGTGCCCTC